GGGCTTTTTGTTTTTGAGGTGGTGTTTTTATTTTTATTGGGAATTGGCTTTCAGTCATTATTTTTTAGTTAATCGGTACGGCAAAAGAGCAGCTCAAGTGGTCCCTTCTGAAGTGAGTGCTAGTGGAGGCGCCGATTCGTCACAGTAGCATAACGGAAAGTCATTTGCATATTTGTTTATATGGATTCAGATAACGACAGAGTTGGAATAATTTGCAATGATGACACTAAATTTTATATTTCTTTTTAGAGCCTACTTTAAGAAGTGAACATTTGTTTTTTAAAAGACTAGAATTAGTCTCTTTAGGATGACAGGTTTACTTCATCATGACCTAAGTCAACTCTGTTTCATTTTTGCAATGTATCGTTTTGAGGACCACGACCTCTTTTATTACAGTTGTCGGAAAAGTTTTGTAATTTTGGAAGGTTGTTTCTTTGCTATAGTAATTCTGTTGTTTAGTTATGGAAGTCACAATTTGCTTATGAAGGTATTATGAGTTCTGTTTAATTTATTGTTGTTTTTGATATAAAAATCTGTGAGAGGTTTTTTAAATTATGGTTTACTGGTGATAAAACTTGTATGATTGTAATTGCTTTCTGCTGCGTAAACTCGATGCATGGAGTATTCACGAATTACTGCATTACATTTGCTTACGGTATCAAGGCTTGTGGAATTTTATTCAGCTTTTGAGTAGGCATTCTAATCGCTTAGGTTGGCGATGCCTACGAAGAAGAGTAACTTGCAGGAAAGAAGTAGCAGGACGGAGCCATTTCATAATGAATTCGCAGATGAGGTTATACTCAGACGTTTTTTGACTGCTTAGGATTGAGACGACTTTAGGATTAATTACATTGTCAAATTATTCTTTCTTGCTTTTTTTGAGAGATGCCAACAAGAAAACTTTATAGCCATTTTCTGAAGACGAGTCGAGTCGTGCAATAACAGATAATTATTTTAATCGCGGTAAGGGGGTGACGGAAGGGAAGGATTATCGTAGGCGAAGAAACAAAGGAACGAAGTAGCGTATTTTTTTTGTTTGATAGCTTCTGAGGTAGCTTTTTGGTGTTAAATTCATCCTTGTTTGGTTTTCATTTGGAAGTAGTTTCTCATCTGGTGACTTCAAGGGTTGTTGACGCAGAAAGTGAGGAGCCTACACGGAAAGACGAACATATTGCATGTGAATTGGAAAAGCTTCGTGAGTGGTTTAAGGTTTGTTCTGGCTGCTGGTGGGTTTTCAAGTTTACTTTATCGAGTTTGGGAGGATGAGCTTGCATAATCAAGGATGACGTGGATCAATTATATTTTTATAACGGGCTTCAGTAGTTATTGTCGCTATTTGAAGGTTGCTGACCACTTTTTGCCGAAGGAAGTGAAACAGCAAAATGAAGATTTGACCAAAAGTTTCGGTGAATGGCTCCAGTATCTGACAGTTGGCTTCAATTTACTGGTTACTGAAAATTTACTTTTTTTTACGATGTTGCACTTTGAAGGCCCAACTGTTTTGAACGCTCTTTTCAGTCACTTTATTATTTGAAAACTTCTCTTTTTTTGTCACAAATGGTCATCTATTGAAAAAATTATGAAGCTTTATGGGGATATAATTTGAAATGTTTGAGGTACTTTAGTTCATTTTTCAAAATTCTGTTTCGTTTTAAACGGTCGCTGTCAATAGGTTTATGGAATCGGATCTAAAAAGGGTTTGCTTGACGGCTTTTGCAAATTCATTAGTGGTTATACGTACGTAACAGTGGATGCATACCACCCAGCTGTAAGTATGCGAACAATTTTGCAGGTAACTGCCTTTCACGTCTAGTGTAAGATAGAAGTTTGCAGTTATTTCTTTATAAATCTTGAAACGACAAAACATTGGGCTGTTTTAAGACGTCTTCTATTTCATTGCTAGCAGCAAGGGTTTACAGAAATTGGAGTCAGGCTTTTCAATTCGTTGCGGAGTTAAAGAACGTAACATTGTGTTGTGGGCTGCAATCCTTGCAAATGAACTGGGAAAAAAGTCAGAAGACGTAATATTGGTTATCAATAATATTGATGGTGTTGGCCTAAGGTATGTGACCTTTTTTTCTGTACTTTCTTTTCTGATTTTTAATTTTGATTTGAAGTAAATAATCAAGGCATTTATTTGTTAGAGAAGCTGTACAACAGCAGGCACTTATTGAACTGGCAAAGTGTAAATATATCCATATAGTTGCTTCTATGGATCACTTTAACACGCCTTCTTTGTGGTCCTGGGTAATGTCTAAAGTTTTTTAGATTTTATGGAGTATTTTTTTGGTGAAAGTTTTCAGAATTGCGATAATGGATGTTTTAGTTTATTGTGTAGACTTGCGTAATTACATCTCTCATTTTGTTACTTTTCTTTTGGCGATTACTGCGAGAATTTGAATACATTTGTACTTGACTTTGTTAGTATTCTTCCTGTAGGAAATGCTTGGGTTTTATAACTTTTTATGGGTCAAAGCAAGTACGATGTGTTGCTATCAGTTAGAGATCTTAGCTGGTGAGTCGAAGCTTTTGAAGTTGGATAGTAGTAATTCAGCGTATGACCATACCTCCGCATCCTTGGAAGTCATTTGGCAAGCGTTGACCCTCAATTCAAGAATGATCTTTGTCAAAATAATCAAAATGTTTTTCAATTACAATAAGCCAATTGAATTCTCGATTTTATACGACCGGGCAAAGTGAGTAAGATTACTTTTTTATTTTTCGTTTTTTTGTACTTTTGCCCCATAAGTGGCCTCCTTAATTCAGTTTCATTGCTTTTTTATAAATCACTCGTCATTTTAGTTTCAATAAGCTAAAATTACATTAATTTAAAACAATTTTGAAATTACCTACTCGTTGGTCGTATACACTTTTCAGAGATGATTTTCTTGTGAACAATGATGTTGTTCTACAACAACACCTCATTGAACTTTTGGATCACAAGTTGATAAGTAAGGAACAGCAACTCAATGGCAGTGAATATATTTCTGTACTGGTCGATAAAAATGTAAATATTTAACATCTTTCGGCACGAGCAGTTCCATCCTTATGGTTTGGTAGTCTGTTTTCATTTATACTGCTAGCAGCCACTACAAAGATCACGATGCACGCAGCTTCAGCCATATTTGCTTTGTTATTTAGATATTGTCTTAAGAAACAAAATTGTTTGTAATACGTTCCAACTTTCAAAACTTATTTTCCAGGTAATCATCCCTTTTTTGCAAAGTCAGGGTATGAATACGGATATTGACGACTCGTGATGCCGTAATTATTTTATGGGGTGCTGCAGTTTTATTAAATTGTACAAATAAGATTGTAGGTTCAGTCTATTTCCGATTTTTGTATAGGATTTTTCCGCCCATTTTACCTTTTGAAATTGTTTTTGTTCTTGTTTATTTGAGGTTTTAAGGCTTATCATAACCAGTTTTTGATCTCGTGCTGAATACAAATTCCATTGAGCAGTATCTCAACAGAAATTTTTAGTGTTTTGTGGATGTAAAAATGATGTCATTACACTATGGAACGGTAGAATATTCATTTTAATGTTATATAAATCTGTAATCACTAGGAGTCCCAAGTGCAAAAAATTCTTTCAGCTTGAAGCTTAATTTTTAGGGTTCATTTAGCAGAAGTACAGTATATAACCCATATGCTGGATCAGTGGGGATTACAAAGTAAACGGTGAATAACTGCAGTCATGAAATTTGAAAAATTGTAATTTATGGGACTTAAAAAAGACTTAAAATGTAGACAAAATGCATTTTTTAGAGTAAGGGTAGTCTGCTTAATGACACTGACCAAACTAGTACGCGTGTAGGATAACAGGAGATAACTTCTTTCCAAAGTACAGGATGAATCTGTGGATGACGGGAAGGAGACACGTTTCCTGCCTTTCCTTGCTTTAGTTAAAGCATTTTTAAGTTTTTTTAAGTCCGTTATTTCCTTTGTTTAGCGAAATAGATAGAGGAGGAGATTGTTCTAGTTGGTCTTATACTGAAATAGTAATCCAGAACGCCCAACTGAGCTTTGTATTACTAATTAAAAAAGTAAGAACCCCACGTGTCAAAAAATGCGGGTAGATGACTTTTATTTCATTTCTCTGTGTCGTATATAGATGGCTTTTTTTTGTAGGAAGCATATCGAATACCTAAGGAGTTGAGTTAGGAATCATGGCCTAAATGAGTAATGTTAAGGACAAATCCTATAATTTATTAAGTTTCATAAATTAGCAGGTGTTGGGAAGCAGCTGGCCAATGGAAGAAGTCGGGAGGCCCAGTGGGCTTGAGCCTACTGCTAAGCATTGTTTTGCGCCGTTGAAATTTACTTAGTTTAGTGAAAAATGCGACTTAAAGGGAAACTATGCCAAACAAGAAGAAGATCGAAGAAGATCTGGTCTTTCTCTATCATTTCTACCACCAGCACAGTAAAGCTGATGCTTAAGAGATTCTGCTTCTAAAAAAACGAACCAAAATTTTAAGGAAATATTTTCTAACAATAGGTGTGTCACATTTTTTTCATCATCCAAAAGGAGTAAGAATCCTGTCGTATTTATTAGGAACGCGACATGTATGCAACGTTTATCTCTGATCGAGACAAAAAAAAAAAAAATGACCTTACAGTAACTGAACTCTTTTAAACAACTTACTGCTCAGCAAGAAACTCCCCTAAGAAAGCTGACAACACGTCCGAAAGTACACCGAAACAGTGCTTAGTACATGTAAACAGCTTCAAGAATGATTTCGAGAAAAAATTTCAAATTACTAGCAACGGTTTAAAAGAAAACTTGAAGCGTAAAGATCGACTTTATACTTGACATACACTTACTCAATGGTTTAAAGGCTTGCATACTCTGGAATTTGGGAAACTAATCATCTTTAGAGGAAATGTCAACTAAGGGTCATTGTAATCCTCGGCATTTCTCTAAACAAATAAGGTAAACTTCTGTTTCGACCTTCGACTTGTGTAAAACCCAAATCTGCCGATCAGCAGTAGATTGCTCATCTTTGGAAATTCAAAATGTTTCAAAACAGCTAAAAGGAAGACAACAAATTTTTGTAAATGTCTTTACATAAGTGCAACACTTGACGCTCTTTCTCCTTCCCCTTAATTCAGTGCTACCTTTGGCTGAACTAAACCGTGTCAAAAACACAAGGTCGCTTTCGGACCATTAGGTTAAACGGTGTCGGGCCTCATCGAAACTTAAATCTTAGTCGGTTTGAAAATCTGAAGTACTTTTCTGGGCTGCCAGTGCCGAAGCTGTTGAAATTGCAATGCATCTTTTATCTTACAGTGAAGGGATACACAACGCAGCAACAATGAAAAGCAAAAAAGGAATTTCTACAGCCTCAACCTGCCATGTCACACAGCATTTCCCGTATTGTTTCACCAAACCCTCAAGTCACTATAAGATTGAATTACGAGCAACAGAATTTTATTTTCCACAGTGTCTATCCAGACTTTTACCTCGAGCTGCGCTGATTTTTATTCTTTTTTTTACACAGTTGCAGTAATGTGATTACTGATTACCAGCAGACTGACACACGGTATGCGTTGTTCTTCTTCAACGAAAAAAAGTGATGCATTGGCGCTTACGGCCATACCACGTTGGAAACACGACATCCTGTTCGATCTGTCAAGTTAAGCAACGATTGGCCTCGTTAGTACTTGGATCGGAGACGGCTTGAGAATCCCAGGTGTTGTAAGCACTTTTCCATTTGAAAACTTACGCAAAAGTATTGTTGAAAATCTTAGACAGTCCAAGGCTGTACAGAACTAAATGTTTTACTAACAAACAACTGCATCACCAATAAGTTGTTGATCAGTTGGTATACGAACAACACTTGCATGTTTCTTTAACTACTTTACTGCCTATTGCTCAACACCATAGCAGAACTTTTCCAAAATTTATTCCCGAGCCACAGACTCACTAATCTTCATGTTTGAGCCGAAACGAAACATTACCCCAATTTTGGTAACTAAACCAACAATCACTGCCGCTGACGTTTGATATAATCGGCAAACGAGCGATTCTGGCCGAGTTGCACATCTCAATATTCTCTTCAATTCGTCAGCAACGGTGCCTAAATAATTAATTATCAGTGAATATTCGACGTCGCCGTATATACTGCAGAGATTATTGTTTAAACCAAGATTTCTATAACATTACAGCCTGTTGCAAACCTCAGGTAGTACCATAAAGTGAAGATTTGTTGCGCAAGGTCTATGGTTTAGTAGCGCAAAACAATTGCTGATGACAG